TTGCGGCACTTCAGCGGGCGAGAGCTCGAGAGAAGGCCGAGGGGCGAACAATTATTAACTAAGTAATCAATTGCTGACAGCGACTTCCACTGTGGGATGCCGCTCTCCCACCCAAGGCTCGTTGACTAATTCGTCGGTTGTGACTCAACGCAATAAGCCTCTGCCAACGTACGCTGTGCCAGGTTCGACAGGACCCATGATCGATCGGCTTCAGCAAGCCTTAAAAAGAGATGGTCTCGACTGACAGGATCATTTGCTTCGCTTCCTCTTTCCTCGTTACACGCGTAGCTGACCCGAGCTGCTGCTGGCATGCCTAAAAAAAGACAGCCCTTCAAGACCTTCAAGCCAACCTCGCTGGCCACCGCGGCCTCATCCAACACCAGTAAGTCTCCCAGCCCCGGCAGTTCTGGGCCAGCCGGACCCCAAGGAAGGAGGTGCATGTCGAGTCTCACAAAGCTGCGGTTTAGCAAAACCCACGAGGAACGTCAATGACATCCTCGCCAATCTCCGCCGCACGTCAGCCGGCCCATCGGCGTCCCGCGAGCTGCCAGTGAACACACCCAGTGTACCTCCAGCCATCCGTGAGATCCTCCAGATCCCCGAGACTCCTGCCCCGTCGCCTCGTCGCCCAGTCAGGGCCAGAGTCGACAGCAGCGGACGTAGACTCCCAGCCGGGCCCCCTCCACCCCAGAGCTGGGTGTCGTCCCAGGGCAGTGATGCAGCATCCAGTAGGCGGGCTGCCCGCCATCTGAGTGCGAACTCGCTGGGCCTCGCGACCGCTACTCTCCCTGGTGCATATCTACCGGAGAAGGAAAGCCTGATTTACCTGACCCTAAGGAAGATCGCACTGGACTGGGAAGTTCAGCGTATCTACAACCAGTACCATATCTACTACCTTCCTGACCACCTAAAGTCGGCTCTGATACGTTTCATTGGCTTGGTGGACAGCCAGGGCGTATCCCTAGCTGATTTGAAGCTTATACTTCTCCCGCCAGTAGATGCTTATTGGAGCAGCGGCGATGAGGACGATGATGATGACGACAACAGCGACAGCAGTGATCTCATTGTGAATCGAGGGGTCACTAGCCTTGATCTTTCTGGCTCTGTGGGCAAATCATTGAAGCTAAAAGAAGTTACAGAACTTTTGTTCCCTCCGATGGCAGATATGAGATCCGACGAACCCCAAGAGTCTTGGGACCAAGCCGAAGTGAGCGCGCCCAGCCCTCCAAGGGGTCTCCTCCCGAATCTGACGCATCTCTCCCTTGCGCTTGACCGTCAAGGCCGGGAGGGGATATCGTGGAAGCAGCTTCTTGCACTATCTTCCAAAGCTACGACCATCACTCACCTGAGCCTCGCTCATTGGCCTGTTCCGTGTTTCACACCCAGGGCTCGCACCTCAACGGTCACCTCACCACAAGGCCAGCGCATAGCCTACGGTGGGACAAACCACTACTCGCACACTATTGACCATGACTGGAGCGAGGCCCTGCTCATTCTGCGGATGCTAAGCCGCAACCTCTACGAGCTCGAGTATCTTGACCTGACGGGATGTGAGTCGTGGTTCAAGGCGTTATCAATGACATCCGACCATGACTATGTTGACTGGGTTGGGAGCTGGGGGAAAATGACACACGTCAAATTGCTCCCAGGGTGGAAACCCGATGCAGACTCTCCAACATCAGAGCAGATTGCCTACGTTGAAGCAAACGAGGCCGCCGCTAGTGCGGAACGGCACATTAGAGCCATGAGGGCAGGTAAAGGGAATTTCATCCTCGTTGAGCGGGACAGAGGCGACTAAAAAGATGTCAATCTCGTGAATAATGATGCGATATTGGCTAGTGCAAAATATGTACATTCCTCAAGGTATTGCTGGCAGATGAGTGCCACCTCTATGATAAATACTCGCATTCTAGAGTCAATGAATACAGTATATTAACGCTCTTCAATGAGTGATACACAAATACTTCCAAATATCTGCCCCCAGTGATCAGGATATTCTACAAGAGACTCTCCGGTCTGAGGCTCATGTGGTGGAATGGGCAAAGAGCAACGGAACCAACCCAGTGCCCTTTCTTCTGCCCTGCAGACCCCGCCATGATGTATTTAGGAGGCCATTTATTACCCGGTTTGGCGAAGGCTCACTATGAGTAACCATGAGTGTGGATGATTAGCGCAAGCTCCAAAATCGCAAAATGCCAAAATAGCCACCGCGACCCGGGATCAAGGATAACTTTACTTCGTCCGCTAAACGAAATTTACGAGATCCTAATAAAATACTTCCTCAAAGACCAAAATCATAGCCCACGGGATTGAAAAGCTGAGATTATTACCAATTGGACAAGAGCTACTACTCCAAGACCAGGACCATCCATTCACACTACCTACCCTAGAGCATCATTCATCACCTCCTCCCCTTCAACAAACATCTCTCGCCAGCATCGCACACGATGACCGCAGCTGGGTCGGAATCCGCTACCTCTATTCTGTGCAACTCTAAGCAGACTCGGTTTCACATTGACTCGCCCAACTATCGCGAGGTATGTATGCACCTATTGGACACGGCATATTGCACAAGTGACCTAATCATGTTATTGTACCTTCTGCAGCTAGATATCGAGGGCTTGAACATTATCATTAAATCTGCAGAAACTGAGAAGGGTCCCGGCAAGGGGAAGGCTAAAAGTAAATCAGATGGCATTGAGATTCTCTCCAATGCGAAGCTGCGATTGAAGCCAGGCCAGCGATATGCCCTAGTTGGGCGAAACGGCACAGGAAAGTCGAGTACGTCTTATCAACATCCTCCTTCCTAACATCGGCAGCCTCTGGTTAACATTCTTACTCCTTCTCTCCCGGGATTTAGCTCTTCTGAAAGCAATCGCGGAAAAGTTAATACCAGGAATACCCGAGGAGACGAGGATTGCGGCGTTACAACAGACGAAGATCACAGAGGACGAGGAATCCTTGAAATCGGCTGATCAAGCCCAACCTGACCTGACTGTTCTACAACAGGTCGTGGAGAAGACAATATCGAAAGATAACATAGAACAAGATATAAAAGGTATGCCACCCCCCCTCAATACAGTACAAGCTCGTCTCTCCTTAGCTGACACCCACAAGCATTATCCGACGGCGTAGATGCAGCGGATCCATATGCTCCAGTCCAAGCACTCAGGCGGCTAAAACATGAGCGCCTACAACATAGGCTCTTCAAGTTAAACAAAGATGCCCGGCTTAGGAGTGGCGCAAGGGGCCTACAAGCGAGGAAAGCGCTCGTAGCCTTTGAAAAGGTCGTGGCCGAGTCACAGTCTCTGTAAGATTCTACACTCACCCCTTGCGTATTCAAATATTTCTTTGCTGAGAATTTATTCAGTGTCGACCAGCCAAATGAGGAGATATCGACCAGTGCTCTGCAGGAAGAGATTCAAGAAGCAGCCGATATGCTTGCCGATTTACACCTCCAGGTCGAACCTGCCCGCCTCTCTGAGACGGAGTCCAAGGCCAAAAGCATCCTCACAGGTTTGGGATTCACAGATGCGTACATGGAGAAGCCCATTAGGAGCCTTTCTGGTGGGTGGCATATGCGGGCAGCGCTGGCGGCGGCGCTGCTGCAGGAGACTGACATCCTCATTCTTGACGAACCTACCAATTTCCTGGATCTCCTTGGGATCATCTGGCTACAGCGATACTTGAAGTCGCTCGAGGATAGCGATAAGCCCCCCACGCTCATCCTCGTCTCCCATGACCGTGATTTCATCTCACTCTGCACCGACCTCCTAATCCTCAAGGACAAGCAGCTCACCTACTTCCACGGCGACCTGGCAACCTACGAGGCGTCCCAGTCAGAACGCAAGATCTGGCTCACCAAGATGAAGGAGGCCAAGGATAAGCAAAAGGCGCATATAGAAAAGTCCATCGCCGCCAACAAGAAGGCCGGCAAGGAGAGCGACGACCAGAACAAGCTGCGCCAGGCAAAGTCCCGCCAGAAGAAGCTCGACGACCGCTGGGGCCTCGAGGTCGGGCAGCGCGGGGGCCGGTTCAAGCTCAACCGCGACCTGGTGGGCTTCCACCTCACGGCCCGGGAGGAGATAGACATCCCCCCCGAGCAGCGCCCCGTGGTCATCGCACTGCCCGAGCCCCCGGACCTGCGGTTCCCCGGCGCCCTCATCTCGCTCGAGAAGGTCGCCTTCCGCTACTCGCCCAAGCTGGGCCCCGTGGTCAAGGACATCAACATCTCGGTCGGCATGGGCGACCGCGTGGGGATCCTGGGACTCAACGGCGCCGGCAAGTCCACGCTCGTGAAGCTCCTCGTCGACCAGTCCCGCCCGACGTCGGGCACGGTGACCACGCACCCCCGGCTCAAGCTGGGCTACTACTCGCAGCAGGCGGTGGACGACCTGCAGTCCCTTGGGCGGGCTGACGAGACCCTCACGGCCCTGAGCCTCCTCACGCGCGAGGTGGAGGGCGGGCTCAGCGAGGGGGAGGTGCGTAGCCTCCTGGGCCAGCTGGGGCTTCCTGGCAGGATCGCCTCTGATGTGCCGTTGCGGAAGCTTTCTGGTGGGCAGCTTGTCCGGTGCGAGCTTGCACGTCTGTTCTGGAGACGGCCCCATTGCCTGGTTCTGGACGAAGTAACTACACACCTGGACTACGAGACGGTGACCGCACTACGGGAGGCTCTATCTGATTGGGAGGGGGCTGTTGTCCTGGTGAGCCACGACAGGTGGTTCATGCGCGGAGCAGTGGAGGGTGTGGTGGATGACCAGGATGAGGGAAGTAATGAGAGTGAGGATGAGGCAGAGATTGCGAGAAGACGTACAGTATATCGACTCAAGGGGGGCAGTTTGTCTGTGCTGGAGAACGGCGTCTCCTCATTCGAGGCTCTTATGGAGAAGCGGGCGGCCAAGCTCCTCGCCTCATTCTAAGTTACTCTATGATAGACCCCAAAAAAAAAGAGCGAATCTACTTGTAACTGTCTATAACGCTGTTCAAAGCCAAGTCGCTCTCTAGGCTGGCAAGACATCCTTGGGCGCGAGCACACGCAAGAGCGTATGATTAGACTTACTGACCACCATGTGGCCTCCCAAAGGTAACTCGACAATCGTGCCATCAATACACACCTTCCTCCACCGCCCATCCGCGTCCAGCGCCTTCAAACGAATCTCCTCGACCTCGTCATACCAAACACGCTCACCGTCTTCTTCCCACGCCAGCGCCACGTGCTTGCCTCCGTCGTATGCCTTCATCATGACATCCATGATCCTCTCACCCCCTATAGGGCCGAAGTGGACAGCCCGCAGCCTCCCGTCCAGGGGCCGGCTGTCGGGCGAGATGGCAAAGGTGCGCTCCAGATTCGACAGCGGCGTGACCAGCACATAGGCGTGCGTCTCGCGCGGGACACGCTCGAACGAGGCTACGCCTGGCCGGCGGATCTCGACCTGGGCGGTGTAAGGGTGAGACCTGCGCAGGAGCTCCTGTGCGACCATGCCAAAACGCTTCTGGCCGTGGGCGCGGTAGGCCGGGGTGTCGCTCTCGTGCACGATGCTGGCGTGGAAGCCGTAGCTGGCGACGACGGCACCGTTCAGATACGAGACGGGCTTGTTCCCCTCCTGCAGCTCGGGGGGCGTGTCTGTAGCGCCGCCATCGGCCGCTGCTGCCTGCTGCTCCTCCGCGGCGACGACGACGCGAGAGCCCGCAGAGAAGGAGGCCCGAAAGGTGGGCAGGTTTGCTGGCGCGCCTTGGAAGAGCGTCTGCAGGCCCAGGACCAATGGCGAGGAGGCTGGGCGGGCGGAGGCGACGGGCTTGTGCAGGGAGTGAAACAGAGCGTTGCCGGTGCCCAAGGGGAGGGGACAAACCAGAGGCTGGGTTGGGGAGGACGCGGCCGGTGCTTGGGCGTCATCCTCGCAGCTGTTGAGGATGTCGACGATGCCGCCGTCCCCACTCAGCAGGATGACGGTTCTAGACTGCTTCCCACCATGACCACCATCTCTGTGCGTCTGGCCGCCGTGACTGGCCCAGAGGCGCTGGGCGAATTGCGGCACGCTGCCGGCGTTTTCTGTGACCAGCACGTTCTCCTGCTGGCTGCCCGCGAGTTCCGCAGCCTCTGTGCCGGGGGATGCCTGCGCAAGCTCTTCTCGTGTCACCCTGAGGAGGGGGTGTAGTACAGCTTGCCAGAACCGCAGTGCGAGACCGGAGCCAGCCTTTGTCGAGACAACAATGTCGACGAGGTTGTCGGTACTTGGCCGGAGGTGAGGGGGGATCTGGCTGACGAGATGCAGGGAGCTGATCTGATCCGGTATCGAGCTGGTTTGCAGGAGCACAAGCTCGAATGTTGTTGCGGCGGACTCGGAGTTATTCTCTTTCAGACCGCAAATGATGTACTGGTGGGCTGATGCCGGCGGCTTCAGCGCGAACAAGAGGCTTCCAACATCGATCTGGTTTGATACACCGTGTGATGACCATGTGAGCTTCCCATCACGCACAGTAAGATCTTCAGCCTTGACCAAATTTGGGAGTTGATCCGATGCCATGATGACGATGAGCCTGGAGATGGGCCGGCAAGGCAGAGACAGACCGGATCGGGGCCAGAAGACAACGTAACACAGGTTTGATGGAATCAGTTGTGTTGCTCTTATGGCATTGTGGTGAGCAAATTGCCTGGTAGGGATCAGTTGATGTGGAGGAGATGTTGCAGCTTATCATTCATTGTGGTGGTGTAATGCTCAGCAGCATTACGCCAGATCGCTTTAGTCATGCTTCACCCAACTCCGCATTTTTGGATGATTATTCATGTGAAACTCCCGCTACCCTCTGCTGTACATGCTGCAAAAATGAATGCTACGGCCACGATCCACCTCGCTTTGCTGTCGTCTGGTGGTTGTAGTATTTTCTTCTCAAGTATATATAGAAAATCTAGGTTGGTGTTAAAGAAAATCCACGCTGCCAAGCTCTGAGCAAATGATGATGTTGTTTACAGGGCCTTGACTTTATTGAGCCATGGCCTTCGTTAATGGTCCCCAATTCTTTTCTGGGTTCATCTGATATCTGATAATCTTTTGCCCCAGGCCCTTGCGGCCGAGCTGTGCGAGCTCTTCATTGAAAACCATGGTCTTGCGGAGTTCCAATTCGGCCGCTGTTGTCGTCGTGGCCTCAAATCCAGGGTCTTGAGCCTCGCTGCTTTGCGGATCGAGAGTTGTATCATCTGCCCCCTTGGGAGCCTCTTCCATCGCAGTGTCCTGGTCTTTTGGATCTGTAGTCCCGCCGTTGGTGACAGATGAGTTGTTTTCAGACGGCAAGAGGCCGGCCCTCGACAAAATGGCGTGAGCGGCGGTTCTGGGCTTGATATTGGCAACTGTCACGGGTGCCTTCTGTCTTACCCATTCAGTCATAATCCACCAGATGGTTGACCATGGAGCATCCGTTTTCATACTGCCCGGCTTGCAATGGCTTCGGGTGATTCGGTACCCAAGATGAAACAGAGCCCCTCGGAACATATCATCCGGTATTGACACGGATGAGATGGCACTTGCTAGTCGGTTGGGAACCACGTAAAAGGGGTAAGGGTCGATAGCAGCAGCGGCAGCATCCTTGGGGCTCATGCCATCCTCGATATCGGGACCCGGGATATATTCCTCTAGGGCTGTTCGTAGCATACCCTCCAATCGTGGAAGAGTGCCATATACGGACTTGTCGGCCTGGGGGAGCTGGTCAAGAAGTCGTTGGATGAATTCTTGTGAGTGAATTCTGCCACCATACATTGGCCCGTTGAGGTGCATTTTTAGACCGCAGTGTTGGCAAAGCCTGTCGCTAGTGGGAGCCTGCATCATGCCGTGCTTATAAAACCATCCGTCACCCTTCTTATTCGGAGAGGGTTTCGATTTCATCAAATACTGCGTAGTCCAGGAGCCACATCCCTGACTACAGCTGTACACCAACATTGTCTTGCTGCCGAGGAATTTGACTGCTTGAGGGGATTTTGTGACCTTGACAAATACTTTGGTGTAAAAATCAATGGAGAGAGACAGCTGGGGTTCTATGTGAAGCCCATATCGAGCTGCGGATGTGGCAATGGCATTCAGAATCAGCCGGAGGCCAACTTCGTGCGAGTGAGCACCCTTCACAGGGACACCACCGTATAATGAGTACGTCTTCTCGCAGTAGCTGTGACCGGCCCAAACGGCGCTATCGGTGCAAGTTATACAAAGGAGCCCACCGTCGTCTCGGACACACTGCACGGCTGCATCGAAAAACGGTGCGCCAGTGCCATATGGGTCGAGGTCGATAACATCAAACTTGTTAGCCTTGCCCGGATTGCCGAGGCGATCCATTTTGGAGAGATCGTCAGCAATGGCGCGATACATGACGGAAAGCGCATTGTCATTTGTCACAGTTATTTTGTCTTCCAATCCATTATGAGTCACGTTGGCCTTGATTGACTCGGCGGCGGACGCCGAAAGGTCGTTCGCAGTTATAGAAGTGACGAATGGTATCTCGTGTGCATACCTCAGCGCTCGAAGACCTGACGCGGAGAGCGCGTCAAGAATCTTGAAGGTGGTTGAGAAGGTGTTCGTGGGATTGGACTGGGATGTGGCTTCCTGGGTTTGGTGTGTCGTCGGTGCATCCTGTGGCACGGCCGTGGTGTTCTCAACTCCGTTCGCTTCCCCTCCGCGCTTCCTCTTCTTGCTCTGCTTGTTTGCCTTGGCCAGATATTGCGCTTTTCTCCGCTCGATAGTTTCCTCGCCGTATGCCTTGATTGCCAGGACAGATAGGTCACGGTTGAATTGTTGGATGGGATTGTAGAAAACCTGCTGCACCTCGCTCTTATCCTCCCCAACCTTGGCTCCCCGAGGAACAAGGATAGTAGCCTTCCCTTCCGTTATCGTCCTGTGTGACTTTTCGCCGTCTTGGGTTGCGTCAATTGCAGCTGACGCCCTGCTGTCGGCCATCTCGAGGGTTTGCGAGCAGAGTGCTCTTCGACTCGGCAGGGTATGTTGGCGTAAAATGTGCGTTTGCGATGCTTTTATCACGGATGGTATTATCGAAAACCTGTTTAGGGTGGTTATTGTAGCGATATGTGGGTGAAATTGCCTCGAGAAGTTGCGGAAAGGCAACATCCGGGCATGATATGGTGGGAGGCGCATTCCAAGCAGAAGCTATTCTCCATCGCAAATTGGGGAAATTCTCAAAATTTCCTTATTCTGCCGTAGCTAGTCGCGGGCGGTGTAAATCCACCCCACTATGCTCTTCAAGGGTCCAGCTGGGTGACATAAAAAGTGGCACACCGAACACCACACTGAGGTTCTGATATCTACCTTGCCTATGCAAGTGAGGGACACACTAGGTACTCTTTAATTGCAATAATGATTATAATAGTTACAAGATATTAACTCTTATTTTACGTATTATCTTGGCATATTGGTTGCCTAGTGTGCAGAATTGTTTCAAAAGATGATGGAATCTTCATCGCTGGTTGTGATGTGCACGTTTAATGTCATCTAGTCCTTGGCTTGATGTGCTCGTGCCTTTACATCATGCTTGAACAGTGAGATCCCCAGTGTCAAATTTGAGTATCAAAGCTTAGTGAAAGTTGTTGTTAAGATGAGTGATAAGACACTTCCGACTTCTTCGTGTCTGGGTATGTAACGATTGCCTTGTATGGGCCGAGGCATGTCCATGGTAACTTCCTGCTTCTGCTGCTCATGAGCCTGCTGATATATCCTATTTGCGAACGCGCCTACCAAATGACAATGTATTGAAGACGAGTCTCCTTCCTGGGAGTCAATGAGCTCGTAGCGAATTCATCGTTCTCCATATCCTCTGATGCCCATCCTTTCACATATACCATTCCCTAAAGCAATGCACCTTATAGCTTACGCTTTGCCTTGGTAAGCTGTCATTGAACTCTGTCAAGACCAATCTCCTACGATAATAAGTACGAAAGCCTCCCCCAACTGGAATTCCGCGTGGCTAATAAAGTGTGGAAGAAAACACGCAATCTTCAGATCGTAACCTTTACACTTGATCATGTCCAAGGCAGCGAGACCCGTAGACCTAGAATTGCCTATAGGATCGGTTTCGTCGAATTCTACTGCGGCACCTCAGCCATCAAACAACGAGCACAAGAATGGAGAGGACAAGGTGAAGGAAGCCGATAGGCCAAATAATACGAGGACAATACCTCGACACCGCTTCCTCACACCTTCTGAGTGGACAGCCCTAGCAGGCGGACTAGGTGCGATACGAGATCACGAGAACCACGCTCCAGTCCACCCAACCAGCTGGTGGTGGCCACCTAGAGGCATGGTTCGAGGCCTCTATAGAGATGTTGTTCAACAGCGGACTCTTTACTGCTACTTGTTCCACGCAGCTAGTGTATCCCGATGGAGCCTTATGATCGTTCAGCTCTTCATCGGGGCTGCCCTGACGGCGCTGGGGCCGAAGCCTGCTCATCATGGCCCGCCAATTACGGTGCTGGGCGCACTCAACACAATCATTGCTGGATTGCTTGCGCTACTCCATAATAGTGGTCTCCCCGACCGGTACAGACACAACATGTTCGAGTTCGAGGAGCTCGAGGACCATATTCGTGAACTTTTGGACACAGGCCTCGCTCCCGCCGATAGTGCCATGGACCAAACACTGGTTGAGTGCTTCAACCTATTCCATCAAGCCAAAGCTACTGTAGCGGCCAACATGCCGGCGAACTACAACTCGAAAAACGAGCTGCGGACGATCAGGGGAAACGCCACATACGCCGCGACCATGAGCGAGATGGAGGGGCATCAACCTCGGCAGCGGGATAAACCTTTGGAGCCAAAGAACGATACGGGTACGTCGGGGCCTGATAAGACCATGGCAGCATCGTCAGCATCGAGATGATGGGTAAGACGTTACCCGCATCGGTAACCAATTGGACATGGCGCACACGCTATTGATGCAGGCTGCAGAACCGGTAGTCTTTATCGGCCACTAAATAGATGGAATCCTCAATGGTCAATGACGGTCTTGATAATTAATAACGCGCCCAGCTTTTCATATGGGGTCAGTCTCCTGCCTAGAATGACGTGAAATTACGTTCAAATAGTAGCTTTCGGAACCCTGGCCGTGAAGGTGTGTGAATTTCGTGACCTGCATGCATGGCCTGGTGGATAAGCGCCTGTCAGATGAGAACTTTGGCTCCATCTGCTGCCTGCTCATATTGGGGCGGACGTTGTTGACTTATACGAATATCACACCAGGTCTCTCATGCCTCGGAGCGAGAACGAGAATCTCAGGTGACAGAGGTTCAGGTGTGAGCCGCATGATTTCGACTGGCGAACAACGGAATCGACAACAACAACCTGAACCCTACCTTTGTAATTAGCTAGCAGCTAACGGAGAATGATGTTACAGATCTTAGCCCACAGCACTGAGTGGGCTCTTCCCCCCTGCCAAATTGTTTCGAAGCGTGGGTGGGGTGGGTGAGAGACAGCGTGAGCTTGGCTGTGTGGTTGGTGGTGAGGATTTGGGGTTTGGGTCATGCCATATTGCGCCAGGTTTGAACGGAATAAGAAAATGATACCAGGGGCGACGCCGTACATCCCACCTACGTAATGGAGATGGATGGGATGGGGTAATTAGCAGGGGGGATACTTGCCAGTACGAGAAGGCTGTTTTGACTCGGGCTGTGGTAAGGATCTTATCGTTGCATTAGGTGGTGGGAAAGGAGAGTTTCAAGAGGGTTTGGACCAGGTGGACCGTCGAAGTGATCAGCCCTGTCAATTGCACAGCCAAGTCACAGCAGGTACCTGCGTCGGGGCCTGTCGCTGTAGAGATACCTGTCCGAGTACGCAGCACATGGGACGGTGCGTGCTGATGATGGATGGGACCAGCATTGAAGCACGGATAGGACCGTCTCGATGATGGACGGTCCGGTATCAGAAGAGCAGAACAGGCGTTTTAGCGGGCAATCAGCCAGCCCCTTCCCCGCTGCCCTCCTGAGATCAGGGCTTGTACTTAACTGGGCCATTTCGCTGATCGCAGCTGCTGGAGATGGCAATGAATTGGTGAATGGGGGAATGGAGCTGTAATAAGTAGCAGTAGGAGGGGACGAGGCAGGGGCCAGATTGACGATACTACCACTTATTTAGATCCCTTCGGGGCTGTCTGGTCCGTATTAAAATGCCATGCACCTGGCTGACAGCTTTCCCCTGGTTTCGGTGCTTCCTTTTGATTGAACTCTCTCACCTCCCGTCTGGTCTTGTTTAAATTGCTAGCCGCTCACTCGCGCACACTTTTACTCTCACACTCCTTTCTCTTGTTTTGCCGTCATCATCCTTTACTCTTCTTTCTTGCAGCTGGCTCTGTGGCCGTCTTTGTCTTGACCTTGACTTTCTCCCTACTTGTTTCTTTTCACTACTAACGGCCGCCCCCCAATTATCTTTTATAGCATCTGGAAGGCCACAAACACGTACGTTTACGGGCGTCGCTCCCACGTCTACTTATTCGCTCAATTGGTCGGAAAATTCAGGATGGACATTAGCCTGTAAACGGTCTCTGGATTCTCGACAGATCGCAGTTTCTTTTATTCCTAGAGGGTGTACTTGGCCGGTTTTCGCCTCCTACAACAGGACAACGGCGGTTCTGGTGAAGGCGGGAAGGTTTGCCACCTGTGAAGAAGCCCCATTTTTCTTTATCTGCTGGAGATTCCCATTTCTCCCCTAAATCCCAGCGGCTTAGGGACCGACCTGTCTCTGGCCGTTGAGTCTATCTGTCCTGCATCTGCACCTGCATCAGGCAGCAGCAGCGCGCAAACCACATCAAAATGTTGTTCAAGGGCCCCTGTTCAGTGCATTCGCGCCTGGCGCACATGCTGATGGCTCTGGTCCTTCTGGGATTGTTTGTACAAACTCTCCGCTTAGCCACCGATCGCAAGAGAAGCCCGCTTTTGAAAGATGCGGAACTTATTCCAGAGGGAAACGCATCACCGGAGGAGCTCTATCTCGGCCGACTCACCCGAGAGTTGGGCCTGTCCCACGAGGCGTCATGGGTGGCATGGAGGATCCAACCCAGCGAGCAGTCTGAGGTTTGGCCGAGTGTGACGGAGGTTCATCTCAACTTTGGGGCTGTTGCCCCCAAGACCATTAATTTGGCGAGTCCCGACCGGATGGATTTGTATGCGAAAAAGAGAATGGAATTGCCTGTGCCTACGGGCCCTAAGCTGGGGGATGTCGACGCTTCCGACTTTCTTTTTGGCATCTCCACGACCTATGCGCGCATCTCGGACCGTGATTATGCTATGATCAAGGCGTGGGCTCGCTGGCTGACCGATGGCCACCATCACAGTAACGGAGCGAGCATGGTGGTAGTCTTAGACCAGGCGAATGCCAGCCAGCTCGACGAGGTGGACCGCGCCCTCCAGGCATCAGGCCTCGACTGCTGGGTCACGACAACAGAGGAGCCCATGTCAATGGCCCGAAGATATTTTGAGCTGACCCGGATATTGAAGACATTTGCTGCTAACCTGGCGGCTAACGGCCAGAACAAGCGGTGGTTTGGCCTTGTGGAGGACGACGTGTTTTTCCCTAGCTTGTCTTACCTCCGTGACAGGTTATTCTCGTACAACACGGACTCGCAGCACTATATCGGTTTGCCGAGTGAGAAGCTGGATTGGGACACGTCGGAGAACGAGCAGATCCAGACCCACGGAGGCGGTGCCGTGCTCCTCACACTGAGCGCGCTTACACGAATCCCAAACCTGCCCTGTTTCGAAACCGAGAGTTCAAGGAAGACCTCCTTCAAGTCCAAGAGATGGGACGAACTTCTCCACACATGCTTGATGAAGCACACGGAATTGCAGATGCACGTACTACCTGGGTTTTATTCGCCAAACGATAAAACCATCGATGAGAATGTGGATAGTTATGAGACCGGCCAACAGCCACTCCTTCTCCGCCGTTACGCTCACCGCCACCTACTCAACATTAACAAGGCTCACCTGGTTACCAATGTTTGCGGCGAATCGTGTTTCATGCAACGCTATCTTTTCAAGGACAACTGGGTTCTCGTCAATGGAATCTCCATTACGCAGTACCCCGATGGTGTGAAGATAGAGCACAAAGAAGCCCACAAGGGTGCGTCTACGGAGGAGAAGAAGGAAGACCACCAAAAACGATCAAACCTTGAAGCTGACGAGGCTGGTCGAGACATCTCAAGCTCCCTCACCAAGCGTTTGTTTATTGACGACGACTCCGGATCCGTAGACCGGGCCACACTTTCGTGGTCCGGACGAAGGAACGCATGGAAGCTTGTGGACTCTGCCGTGAGCAAAGACGGAGCAGTGTGGCAGGCTTATTTGAAGAGAGGGAAGAAGAACTCCGCTCGAGACGTACAACAACAGCAACAACAACAAGGCAATTCAGCCGACGAAAAAGATTCCATTATTGTTCTCGTTTGGGAGCAGGCAAAGAGCGCATTATAAGCCTCCTGACGGTTATATCATCATTAAAGGGGGACGCGACACATGAATATCCCCGCCACCGAACAAAAACTTTTGATTGTCTATATTGACCATTTTCTTTCTTTCACATTTACTGGTTTACGGCGTCTTGGAGAGGATTTTTCTTGCTTTGTTTGATCCAACGATGGGATGGGGAACGTGTATCAGATGTATCCACGGATGGATGGTGAGAAGGGTAGCATTTTTGTACCGACACATATCTTTTTGATGAAACAAAGATACCTATGAAATCAATGGTTCTATTTCCCTTATGATTCTCCTCGGGTTTGGACACTCGATTTTTCTATTGGACACATCTTCTGCTAACTTTGATATGATGGGTTTAACGATCTCCATCTTTACCTCTGATGACGTGCTATTTCTTTCGCTGTCAGGATGTAAATAAATTCTCGACTGAGTATTCATTGATTGGCAGGTCAAGCACATAATGTACTTGGTTATTAAGTCGATTGCTTTTACATATCGAAACTCGATGTTAGCCTTGGTGTGCCGCGATTCTCGTCAAGCATTGGAACGGGTTCAATCATCCCCATTCTTTATCCCTGGTCGTTGAATGACAGACATCTGCACAGTGTGTAGATCTCAATATGACAGTTCTTGGTAGATACCCTTGGCAGATCGAGCTGGTCCTTGCGCAACCAGGAGGATCGTATCTTCGAAACCGTGCACCGTGGGCCGTTTGGAATTGTGGATAATGGCTGTGGCGTCGATATACATTGAGTTTTCGTGCTCGGCAGGGTTGTTTGGACTTGGTATTACGTATTGACTGTGCACATGCGAGGCTCAGAATTCGAGGCTTGCCGAGGCAAATGGAGCACATGGGATCTAATTGTAATCATGTTTTGATGTACATTGCTGAAATGTACGACTACGCTACCGTCATGAAGACGTCGGTTTATCGTTGCCCAAATAATTCGCCCTGAAACCCACCCTTACCTGTCCACCGCCGCAGTGGAACCTTTGGTCTTTGATCCCGCGCTTCGTAGTACGCGGCCACTTTCCTCCGCTGGCTTGCCCGGGGCCGGAGTGCTCTCCTTGGCCAGTGGCGAGGTAGGATACTCGGGGGTGACTGACCGTGAGTCAGTCGCTGGGCGCTTGGGACGGGATATGGATGCATTCTTCTTGCGGCGTTTTTCAGCCGCGGAAGTAGAGCCGGTGCTCCCTTTCCTGGAAAGCAGGCCATCATCCATTTCGAAGCCCGGAGTCTGGCTGCGGGAGGAGCTTGTGGACCCGCGGCGAACGCTGCTACTACGGCGTTTTCGATCCTTTTCCACATGGGGATGTTGGCGATGCGTCTTGTGAGCATGGTGAGGAGGTTGGACTTGTCTCCAAGGCAGCCACCAGAACCACCCAAGCTGCTGCTTCGCCAGGCGGCGGTCGTGCTCCTTGACCTTCTTGCGCAGGAGGGCACGGCGCTCGTTTTCCTTCTCCCAGTATTCAGTGCGGTAGAGTTCCCAATTTTCACGGAAGGTCGACGAGAATGGCTTTGCGAGCAGGAGCAATTTGACGTAGTCTCCGCCGGGGGCCAAGTCCTCCTCATGAATGCCTCGCTCTTCGTCGTCGTGCGGGAGTATAAGTGTAGGATGACTGTCGTTGGATAGCTGCAGCTCCTTCTCCACCTCCCTCAGCAGGGAAGGCTCTACAGGACGGTAGGAGGAGCTTGCGGTGTGAGAGAATAGTCCGTAGGTGAGGAAGAACCCGATCGTAGACAAGGCCTCGGCCCACAAGGGGCGGCGGATGACGACCAGCTTGCAATTGAAGCCGCGGAGGCCTCTATTGGAGATGGCGAACCACCGGCGCGGCCAGCGGATGCCTCTCTCCCAGATGCCGACGGCCCAGACGAGAATGGCCGTTATGATACCCCCCATGAAGCAGACCTTCTGCGCGCCCTCCACGGCCCAGTAGATGGAGCCACCCACGCCCACACCGTCCTCTCGAGGGGCGTAGAAGAGCTGGTACCCCCACCAGGCGATCCATACCGCCAGAATCATGAAGAAGAATGTGTGGTGGCGTCTCCTGGCACGTAACTCGAGGTACTGCGCTCTGAGCGAAGCCTCCAGGATGAGGAGATTGAGGTAGATCATGGAGGGGGAATTGGGCGCATTGTTTGTCGGGTCGCCCTGCTTGCCGGGGAAGGGTAGAATCGGGTTCGTTCCAGCGGCTGGGTTGGAGTTGTCCTCCGGGACAGCAGCTCCCTTGACGATGGAGTCTAGGTCGGGCATTGTGTGTCGTGATTGGAATAGTAGCGTAGCTTGGATGAAGAAAGGGCTGGCGGATGGCCCGATGCCTGGATAGCAGGCTTTTAGCGGTGGCCCACGGCCATGCACTCGCGGGACGGACGAATAGCTGGCTGCGAGGAAGAGGACGATTATAAGAGACGCCAGCTACAGGTCGTGGTAAGGGATAGACGCAAAGGGCGCCAGGGCGGGTCCGACCATGGACTGTGGATGATGATGATGATGTTGAGGGCAGGGCTTGGATTCGAGGCTTGTGACTGACCTTTCTCACATGTCCGGTAGCTCAACTCAGACCACCTAACCTAGAGCGGGCGCTGGGCAGGAATCCCAGTGGAGCATAGCACGGCACAAACGTTCCATTATAGTGGAGGCAAGCACCAACTGCACGGCCGTAGTGGAAAGGCGGTGTTACGGGTCAGTCCCAGCTCCCGAGCCAACCTGGAGCTCGTCCGCGGAGCAGAGTGCCGGATGACAGCGTACCCTACCTTACCAGGTGTCCAGACGACTGTGGCTGGTCCACGCGGTGTGGTTTGGTTTCAATTCGTCAGGTGGCTCAGGCGTCCAATTGCATCCAGCGAGGCACCACGTTTGAGATTCTCGCAGCCAGGTCAGGCTCAACATTAAATCCCTAGTTCCTCTGAAAAAACAAAGGCCTCATCCGCTGTGCCGGTCAGAAGTGTATATAGTTCTCCTTGGTCCCGGCCGTCTCCCCTCGTTCCCCTGTCCTTTTCTGTGCTTCCGTGCTTCGTCGCCTGTAGTGTCTATGATGTCGACGATTGCAGGCAGTGCCCCCCAATCTCCGCTCCGCGCACCCCTCCCTTTTAGGCATTAATTATCGATTACCACCACTACAGCCACTACAGCCACTAAGACCGCCGCCCAAATCCGCTGGATTTCATGCCGCCCTGACATTGTTTCCCCGATTCGTTCAAGTCGGGATCCGGGAAGACATAAACCCCGGTCGCTTAAATCCGACGTCCGGCAGATTCACACGCAGCTGCAGGTGGCTTGCCCGTGGATTTTGACGTCGCTTATTCTTTCCACTAGGTAATTGCGTACTCCGGCTGGGTGCCTGGGGCTTTAAAAGGCACCGGGCGTCCCTGCGTGGTGGTGCTTGGCAGGATGCTTAAACAACAAGCCGCCACCGCAGTCCTGCACCGGTCCCGCATTATATTTGTCACTTCAGCGTCTACCGGCCAACTCTATCACCACCCTCCACCCAACATCATGTCGACGACAGACGGTTCCGTCCGCGTCCACCAGGCGCCGAACCTGCCCTCCGACCATGCGTCAGAGCAGATCAAGCAGCAGCAGCCGCCCTCGCGGGGGCCGGCCACATACTTCCCTCTGGGTTACAAGGAAGCCGCCTACCAATGGGTGAGTGTCCCAATCCCGTACTCGGTGTATTACAGAATCTCAGTACTAACTTGCTTGTGCGCAGTGGTCCAGCGTAACACCCTCTATGGCAGAGAGGAATGTTTTATCTTTCATTCCTCTGCTCAAAGAAGCCGCCGATAGCCTTGCGAACCCCGATGCTACCGAGACAACGTACCCTCTGGGCACTAGGATCTGGAAACGGTCCATGGTCCAGCTCTCAGGAAAGAACCGCGCATTGAACGAGGTTTCTGTTGAGCGGGCAGGCGAGGAGCACGAGGAAACCTTGGTTATGCTTCATGGCTACGGTGCCGGCCTCGGTTTCTTCTACAAGAATTTTGAGCCCCTCTCGCGAGTGTCAGGATATAAGCTGTACGCCCTCGATATGCTGGGCATGGGCAACTCGTCGCGACCACCGTTCAAGATTAGCGCCAAGACGAGGGAAGAGCAGGTGATTGAGGCCGAGAACTGGTTCGTCGATGCTCTTGAAGAGTGGCGAAAGGAGAGGAAGATCCAGCGATTCACTCTTCTCGGTCACTCATTGGGAGGATACCTCGCTGTATCTTACGCCCTCAAGTACCCCGGCCATCTCAACAAGCTCATCCTCGCATCGCCCGTCGGTATTCCCAAGGATCCCTTCGCCACAACCGCAGCGATGCCCGAGCCGGGAGAGTCGACAATGGAGCAGGAGTTTACCCAAGACCAGCAAGCCGTCACCGAGCCATCCCGAGTCTCTGCTTCCACTGCGAAGCAAACCTCCACACCCCCAGCTCAGCCAAAACGCCCACTGCCAGGGTGGCTTGTCTGGCTCTGGGACCAAAACATCTCCCCTTTCAGCATCATCCGCATGACTGGCCCCCTTGGGCCTCGCTTCGTGTCGGGATGGACCTCCCGCCGATTCAACCATCTCGAGCCCACTGAGGCTCAGGCTCTCCATGACTACTCCTTCTCCATTTTCAAGCAAAAGGGAAGCGGCGAATATGCCCTGGGATACATCCTGGCCCCCGGTGCCTACGCCCGACGACCCGTCATCGACCGAGTTCAACAACTTGGTCGCCAGCCCATCCCCCAGCCTGAAGCGGGTCAGCCCGCCAAGGAGACTGGGTACCCCGTCGTCTTCATGTACGGCGAGAACGACTGGATGGACGTCGCCGGAGGCCTGGCCGCCGAGGAGAAGCTCAAGCAGGCCAGGCTCGACATCCTGCTGAACGGCACCGAGGAGGAGAAGCGTGCCGAAAATGGCAGCGCCAAGGTCGTCATCGTCCCCAAGGCAGGCCACCACCTGTACCTGGACAACGCGGACAACTTCAACGAAGTTATCCGCAAGGAGTTGGAAGACACCAAGGCGTCCGAGAGGAAGCGCAGAGCTCGGCTGTCCGACTTATAATCCTTCTCAGGACTAATGGAAAGGATTGCAATCTTTTCCCTTAAAAACAATATTATCAATAAGAGCGCAACACTCTGGAACATAGGCATGAGCAATGGCGTCGGCGTTGTACGGGGCATGAGACTTTTGATTTTTAGGGGTTTGGAATAACTTGAAAGACGGCTCGGGTTCACAGCCAATTATGTTTAGAAAGACATTAGATCTCCTTATATTAATACACCTAGAATATCTTTCATCTGACAAATGCTGTATCCTGTGTATTAGTTTGGAGCATTATATTTTGCGATGTCTCTGTCCTTGTCTCACCTCAAGGAGCGAGGCAGCAGACATGCGTGAAGAGAGATGGAAACCGTGATACTTCGCATGCACATCAGGAAGCAAACACGAACGTCTTGAAACAATCCGTTAATCATTAAAAATATCTCATAAAATGCTTAAAACACGTGTCTAGGGACGGCTCTAAGTTGCCCTCTGTGTCTTTACTCCACCATACCTAACGCCCCATTCTTTCCAATCTAACTCGTCTTAAAATATTTACAGGTTGATCACATCGATTTCCGAGAAGTCTGGGGGGTTCGTCCCGTACACAACTCTCACCTTGCTGTCCAGAGCAGTTCCCTCATTGCTGATCCAAATATGGCTGCTGAACGCTTGGGTTCTGCGAATCTCATCATCACTGATACCCAGATCATCTCGGGGCAGCCACACTGTTGGGCGGCGAGCACGCAGAGCAGCATGTTTGAAGGCATGGCGAATGAGCGAATCCCTTTCGTCAGGCGTTAGATCTTCGATTTCGTCGTTCATTCCCCCATACAATGCATCTCCTATCGCACGCTGGGCCTCTAGATCTTTCTGTCGCTGTTTCCGTCGATATTCTATTGCCTTGCGGTCTGTGGCTGTGATTTTGCGAATTTGATTACCGCCGCCTTTGGCCCAGTTTCCGACTTGTCTCATGGGATTTCGGAGTCTCGAGCCCTGCTTTTTCCGACCGATATCTTCCATCTCGATATCACCATCACTGCCAATGACCGGAGATCTAAGTCGGCTAGAGGATTTCTCCGAGCGCGGGCTTTTTGGATCAGCAGCATCCTCGTCTTCCTCATCCTCTGCACTCGAATCGGAGTCTAGCCCGAAGCGTCGTCTCTGGGCTCTGCTAAAAGCCTCGTCACGCAGAACAGCTTCATCCTCAAAGGTGATCGGTAAATAGCGGAACAGCGGTGAAAATGATCTGTTGAGGAGAAGTTGGTACCAGATGGTGAGAAATAACACCACCAACATGATGACTCCGTGCGGGGTGCACGAATTTCTATCGTTTTCGTCTTTGACAATAAAAAATAGGCCAGCCATGCAGAGCTCCATGAAGTAAACCCCAGTGAAAGTTTGATTAATTGCGCGAGGGTACAGCACACCACCGGTGTCTTTTTCAAAGCGGGTGACATAGAGCATGCTATAGCGGTGAGCAACCCATAGAAGGCTAAAAGTGATTATAGCAAAGATAGAAATCAACGGGGCAATCACAGAGTAAATAATGCCAATGCAGGCAAAGTTCGTATAGACTGGGAAGAAGGTTCCCCAATTAACGGAGTTGAGCTTGGTGTTTCTAGTCCATTTGTTTCTCGCAGTGCTGTCGACAATCCGGGCCAAGATGAACCACACGAAAAGCGTTCCAATCTGAAGTAGAGTTCCAGAACTGGTTGACAAAGCTTGTAGAATCATGTAGGAAAAGAAGTAGTTAGCCGCCTTTGGTAAGTTGGTGGCCAGGAGATTAAGAACTGCGGTGACAGATTGCAGCGCCTGGATATTTGCCGTGAGCGTGTCGATTGAAGTAGCAAAGAAGGATGCCACAGATACAATCAGGAAAACTTGAACAAATAGGAAGAAAAAATAAAAGACTTGCACGAATTCGGTCTTCTGTGAGCCAGTTTTTGCCCCTTTGAACTTGGCAAAGAAGTCAAGAACAATAGGCACCAGAATCAGCAAGATCGAAAGTAAAATGGCGGGGAGGACACCAGCGACGGCTGTAGCCACAGTTGTGATGGTAGGGTTTGCCTTGAGAAAGCTGAGCCATTCGTTTTGACGAATCAATTCATCGAGCTGGCTCAGAGACGCCGTGAAGGCGACAGGAATTGCCCAGAGCAACACCATAGCAAATATACAGATGACCACTACACCTGTTCGAGCCCATTCTTGCCACCAAGGAAGACTCATATTGTCCCACACAACA